TGTGTGTGTGTGTGTGTGTCCCTGCGCCCCCTGCTGGAGGGTGTGTAATGAAGTGGGAATTTTTCATCATATTTTGAATATTGTGCAATTGTTTCTGTCTGCTGTATAATTAATTTTCTTGGGTGTAAACCAATTAAGGTGGTGGGATATAATTGGTTAGATAATCATGTTACAATAGGTTAGGATTGGTTAGTTACATTTCAGTAAAATGATTGGTTAAGGTCTGGCTAAGCAGAACGCAAGTTTTACTAGATAGTCTGCAGTCAATCAGGACGTAAGGGGGGGAATGGGAACAGGGAATGGGGAGGGGGAATTGGAATCACGTTTCGCTAAGGGGGGGAATGGGAACAGGGACACAGGCCAGGCTCTGTGGTGTCAGAGCTGGGCAGGGGGACACTGAGGAAGGAAATTGGAATCATTGCTTGCTGGAAGTTCACCCCAATAAACATCGAATTTTTGCACCTTCGGACTTGGGGTATTGTTGCTCTGTTCATGCGAGAAGGACCCGGGAAGTGAGCGGGTGAAGGAATAAGCCCCCTACCACCAGGCTGTAACTTCCTTTTCTCGGTGGTGACAAAGGACTCGCTAGGCTGTGTCCAGACATCGAATAAACCCTCCTGCTTTTACCACCGGCTGAGAGTCACTCCCGAGTCCGGGCGTCGGGGGGCATTGCTCCCTTTGGGGGGACAAGTCTTCCCCAGCTGTCCAATCCAGCTGGACTCGCTGCAGGGGGCTCATGGCGTGACGCAGGGGTGCAGACGGCTCCGAGGATCAATCCCGGGGGACGGGGAAGCCGAGGGGCTCGCCCCAGTGAGGGAATGTGCCCCTAAGGTGCTGCCACGCTGAAGGGGACCTGTTCCAGAGCCGGGCCAGAGCACCAGGCCTGTGGATCCATGACACCTTCCCATCCATCCCTACTCCCCATCCCTCCACCTACCCATGGCTGCCCACTCATCCCCCCATCCAACCACCCCATTCTCCCAACAACCTCTGCCCAACCATCCCCCATCCAACCATACCTGTCCACCCATCTCCTCTCCCATCCATCCACCCAGTCATCCCTTCCCATCCAACCAACCAACCACACAACCATCCCTGCCCACCCATCCTACAACCAACCATCCCAACAACCCATCCAACCACCCATCCATTCCCACCCATCCATCCGACCAACCACACAATCATTCCTGCCCACCCATCCTACAACCAACCATCTATAACCAACCATCCCAACAACCCATCCAACCACCCATCCCCTCTCCCATCCATTCCCACCCACCCATCCAACCAACCACACAACCATCTCTGGCCACCTATCCTACAACCACCCATCCTACAACCCATCCAACCACCCATCCCTTCTCCCATCCATCTCACCAACCACACAACCATCCCTGCCCACCCGTCCTACAACCAACCATCCTACAACTCATTCATCACCCCATCCAACCATCCATCCCTGCTCCCCATCCTTCCACCCACCTGTGGCTGCCCACTCATCCCCCCATCCAACCACCCCATTCTCCGAACAACCTCTGCCCAACCATACCTGTCCACCCATCCCCCTCCCATCCGTCCACTCAGTCATCCCTTCCCACCCACCCATCCAACCAATCACACAACTATCCCTGCCCAGCCATCCTACAACCAACCATCCCAACAACCCATCCACCCACCCACCCATCCCCTCTTCCATCCTTTCCCACCCACCCATCCAACCAACCACACAACCATCCCTGCCCACCTGTGTTACAACCAACCATCCTACAACCAAACAGCCCAACAACCCATCCATCACCCCATCCAACCACCCATTCCCTCTCCCATCCATCCCCACCCATCCATCTGACCAACCACACAACCATCCCTGCCCACCCATCCTACAACCAACCATCCCAACAACCCATCCATCACCCCATCCAACCACCTATGCACCCAAACATCCCTGCCCACCCATCTCATCCAGCTCCCCTCCAACTACCGACCCACCCATCCATACCTCCCCAAACACCCACCCATCCCTGTCCACCCATCCATCCTTCCAACCCCCACATCCCTTCCCAAACACCTATTTATGCACCCACCCACCCAACCCCATTCACCCAACCATCCCTACCCCCTCACCTATTTATAGATCTGTTCTGACCAAGCCCACGAGACAATGAACAAAGACTGAATTCCTTGTAAATATGTAGTTTGTTAGTAGATAAAGGAACTGCAGGCGGATGGTGAACATGTGACCAGCCGGTCACCTGTACCGGGATCGGTTCCCAGGAACTGACCACAGAATATGCAGAGGGATGTAGAACAGAGAGCACGTGCGGCGTCTGTGTGAGGATGTGTTTACCAGCTGGTGAATGAATTGGTATTTTGGGTGTGTGGTTGTAACAAATCTTTCATTTTGTTTACATGTTCTCCATTACTCATACCAATATCCCTCTTCAGATTCCTAATTTTAACTCTAAATGTTTCAGGGGTAATCTGAAAACTTTGCAAAACAGTATCTTTAAATTTACAAAGTCGAAAGTATCTTTGAGGGGCATTCCATTGAATACATTTCGAGCTTTACCAGTTCATTTGGCAATCAGGGTAGGCAGGGCCGGCTCTAACTTTTTTGCCGCCCCAGGCAAAAAAAAAAAGAGTGCCGCCCCGCCGTAACACCCCCCCCAGCGCTGCGCCGCTGAAACACCTGCCCCCCCAGCGCCGGGCCGGGCCGCCGAAACCCCCGTGCCCTCCAGCGCCAGGCCGGGCTGCGTCGCCGAAACCCCCGCCCCCCTGAGCGCCAGGCCGGGCCGGGTCGCCGAAACCCCCGCCCCCCTCCGAGTGCCGGGCTGGGCCGGGTCACCGAAACCCCCGCCCCCCCGAGTGCCGGGCTGGGCCAGGCTGCCAAACCCCCTGCCCCCCTGAGCGCCGGGCTGGGCCGCCCAAACCCCTGAGCGCCGCGCCGGGCCAACCCCTGCCCTGCCCAGTGCCGCGCCGCCGAAGCCCCTGCCCCCGTGAGCGCCGCATCAGCCCCCGCTGAAACAAAAACAAATAAACCCCGAGTGCCCACCGCCACCGCAAGATTGGCCGCCCCTTCCGAGGTGCCGCCCCAAGCATGTGCTTGGTCGGCTGGTGCCTGGAGCCGGCCCTCAGGGTAGGAACTCTCTTATCAGAGATTTCATGTATTACACGCAGCCTTTCGAAGGTAGTCAGATATTCAGCAATATCATCGTCCTCACTCTATGCAGGACATAAGTGCAGGACTGAAGCCCCAAAAGCTCCAACTTCGCCATCACTTCTCTGCTTTCACTCATTTTCCTGCTTTCCTGTTCTTGCTCCTCTTTCCCAAACGAAGCAAACAGAAAATAACAAAACCGTGACCTCCCCCTGACTGTCCTTAGCCGCCGCACTTAAGACTCACTTAACATCACAACTATCAGTTCTTAAAGGGTGAACTTCACGTGGAGTAACAAGCCGTACATACATCCTGCTCGCTGCACCACTGTGATGTTCCCCTCCGGTGTTATCTGGACCGGAGATCTGCTAGGCCTCTCCAAACATTGACTCTGGGAGCCAGCCGTACCCTGCTCTGCTGCGAGAACCCCCACTCCGGGGATGTTCATGCACAGCCTCTGGTATGTGAGCTGCTCCCAGGTACTGGCAATCGAATGACACTAGCCAATATCTCCGGTCCCAGACACAACCCTAGGAACCTCCGTCTTGCAGTGTCCAGTTACACCAATTTAACAAAGAAATTGATATGTACCAGGCTTGTTATCCCAAGGGGAGCCCCTCACACACACCAAACCAAACGCACGGCTTCCGGTGGAATAAACAAACACATTTATTAACTATACGGAGAGATTTTAAGTGATTGTAAGTCAAAGCACCACAAGTCAGATTTGGTCAAATGAAATCAAAGCAAAACGCATTCTCAGCTGATCTGAACACTTAACACTTTCAATGCCCTTACAAACGTAGATGCTTCTCAGCGCAGGCCGGCTGGTTGCTCTTCAGCCAGGCTCTCCCCTTCGATCAGCGCTTCAGTCACTGGGTGGTGGTGTCTGTAGATGTAGGAGGAAGAGCCTGGCAAACGTCTCTCCCTTTTATCATGTCCTTTCTTCCCTCATGGCTCCCCCCCACCTTCAGAGTTAGGTGAGCATCACTGAGTCTCTCCTGACCACCATACAACACAATTCTCATAACTTCATATGTATTACTGATACACATAGATGGATAGAGAAATGACTTTCCGCAGATCATAACCTTTCCCCAATACCTTACAAGTCCTGCTTTATATGCAAGATCATGATTATATGAAAATGAGGAACATGGGGGTTACAGCACGTTCCCCCCCGAGGTAGAGAATGTCACAGTGGTTCACCCTGGACCCACCCCCTGAGCCTGTCCCTCAGCATCAGGGCCTGGATGCCAGGAGAGGAACCTCCATGAAGAGCTTGAGTTCTTGGGAACTGCGTGGACAAGGTCCCAACATCATCCACCCAACCATCCCTGTCCACTCACCCACCCATCCATGTATCCATCCATCTGTCCATGCAACCACCCAATCATCCATCCCTGCCTCCCATCCCCCCCAACTACCCGTCCACCCTCCATCCATCCATTCCTGTCTCCCACCCAGCCAGATACTCCGTGGTGAACGCAATATAAACACATCGATAGCCTGGAATAGGATCATAGAAATGTTGGGCTGGAAGGGAAGTCAAGAGGTCACCAAATCTGTGCAGAGGCAGGACCAAGACCAGCCCTGACAGGTGTTTGTCCAAGCTCTTCCTAAAACCCTCCAATGACGGGGTCCCACAGCCCCCTTGGGAGCCGATTCTGCAGTTAAGGTGGGCTATTATCAGCAGGAGAAAAAAACCTTTCGTAGTGATGATCAGGACGGCCCATTTCCAACAGCTGACAAGAAGGTGTGAGTAACAGTGGGGGGGGGGAATAGTTTAATTTGTGTGATGACTCATCCACTTCCAAGTAAAACTATTTTCCCATGACTTCATCGTCCCGTCCAGCCTGGCAGGTGTGTGTGGGGGGAGGGGAGTGGTGTGGTGCCACTTATATACGAGCCAGTGGGGCTGAACCTCACACCGAGCAAGTCCAGATTCCAGCCCTCGCCTGCCCCATGGTCTCAGGTAGGAGAGCGGAGCCCCCCTGCTGCCCCCCTCCACCGGCTCCCTCTGCCCCCTCCACCGGGCCCCCGCAGACTCCTCCACCGGGCTCCCCCTGGCCCCTCCACCGGGCCCCCGCAGACTCCTCCACCGGGCTCCCCCTGGCCCCCATGCCGGCCCCCCCATCTTCTAACTTGCACTTATTTTCTGGCAGAGAAATACGCCCTTGCCGCTGTACCAGAGCCCCTCACTCCCAACCCACAGCCCCTGCCAGCCCGGCCCTGCCGGTGCCCCTCACTCCCGACCCGCAGCCCTCTGCCAGCCCGGCCCTGGGCTCCCCCAGCCCTGCCGGTGCCCCTCACTCCTGACCCACAGCCCCTGTTAGCCCAGCCCTGGGCTCCCCCCAGCCCTGCTGGTACCCCTCACTCCCGACCCGCAGCCCCCCGGTCTCCCAGTGCCCCTCACTCCTGACCCGCAGCCCCTGCCAGCCCAGCCCTGCCCCCCCCAGGCTCTTCTGGTGCCCCTCACTCCCGACCACAGCCCCTGCTAGCCCAGCCCTGGGCTTTCCCCATCTCCAGGCCCAGTTCAGGCCAGAGAGGCAACTGCGGGGAGAGGCCGGGGCTGGGGTGATTTGGGGGGGAGGGGGCTGGGGGTGTCTCCGTCTCTTGTGGGTCTAACCAGCTCCGTCCCCCCGCAGACCCCTCGATCCCAGCGTCACCATGAGCCCTGTCGCTTCGAGCTGGCTGCTGGCGGGAGCCATCCTAGTCCTAGTGCTGGGGGACCCCACGGACGCCTGCACCTGCGCCCCCCTGCACCCCCAGACGGCGTTCTGCCATGCCGACGTCGGTGAGTGACCCCTGACCCCACCCTGCCCCCCCGGCACCCCCCCTCTGAGCCCCCCATCCT